ATGAGATGGATAGGATTCAAGAAACCATTACACAAATTTCAGATACATCGGATATTGGATATGCATTAGAAGTTGATTTAACAATACCGAATGAGCTTCATGATTATTTCAATGATTTACCATTTTGTCCAGAAAATTTTAAACCACCCAACAGTCAAAGCTCAAAATTAATTCCAAATTTACACAACAAAGAGCGCTACATTATCCATTATCGTAATCTAAAACAATGTTTGAAACATGGTATTATCTTAACGAAAATTCATAGAGGTATCAAATTCACACAAGCAGCGTGGTTAAAGTCCTATATACTGTTAAACACGGTACTTAGAAATGCAGCACTGAATCCGTTTGAAAGAGATTTGTCAAACCAATGATCAATTGTATATTTGGCAAAACGATTGAAAACATAGAGAACAGAGTCAATATCAAATTAGCGACTCAATTTGAAAAATCGAAACACAAAATAGGTGCTGAAATTATATTAGTAAACCAACTTTTAAAGAACACAGTAATTTTCTGAAAACTTAGTAGCTATTCAAATGGAAAAAACAATGATTGATTATTGCCGTCCCACATATGTTGGATTTTGTATTTTAGATGTCTCAAAAGCGGTAATATATGACTTTTTCTATAACTTTCTGAAGCACCAATATAGTAATAAGGTGTCTTTAGCATACACGGACACTGATTCGTTAATAGTACATGTTGAAACCGATAATTTCTATGAAGACATGAAATCACACGTGCATTACTTTGACACATCCAATTATGATGCTGACAACCCACATAACATGCCTCGAACAGCGTCAGAGTTGGGTAAGATGAAAGACGAATATGGTGGCAAGGTACTGTCTGCCTTTTATGGTACAGGTCCCACAGCATACTGTATCGATGCTGTAGATCAAGTGGCTAAACGAGCTAAAGGTACATCTAAGGCGAGTGTGAAACATCAATTACATTTGTTACATTATAAAGATATTGTTGAGGAGAAACGGACATATGTGTACTGTACGATTTATGTATTTAAATCGGAGTCGCACAATATATACACAAATTATATAAGAAAAGTGACATTGACCAGTATGGATGATAAACGTTTCTTGATACCAAACTCAACAAAGACATTAGCTTGGGGTCATCAAGATATCACCTTTCATAAATGTCGGACGGAGAGCGGTTGGAACTCTTGCTGCGCTTAATGAACGAAGCCAGTGAGTTGACTAGTGATCAGATGAAATGATCAGAAATTTGAGCTTTGTGGTGGGGACAAGAATATAAATATATGCTTCACCCACTCACCTTCTTCAGTTTTAAAGATTAGTACCAAGACATACTATTCACTGTTCATGCAATTATGTCATGTAACTGAAGAGGTGTTGAAAAAACATCTCCGACAGTTTGTGTCTCAAAATCCAGAAAAACGAGAATTTCCAGTGCTGAGTTTTGTACTGGTGGAAATTATAGTACCGACGAAGTATTCAACTGGATTGCAAATGCAGATAGTTACTACCCCGATGTGCTTTCCAGTGTAATAACAAGAAAGAAATATCTTGACTGGGTGGTACAGGAAACGCTGCAAAGTCTAAAGGATACAGGTTGTGAGGTTTTAAGCATCAAAGAATTTGGAGACCTGCTGACGAACATGCACTCCACACCATCAGCATATGAACAATACTATTTCTGTAAGTTGTTATCTGACAGTAACTATGAAGATGTAGATAAACCACATCCTGTAGAAAATATTACTAAGAGATATAAAAACACTGTATCCCATATCGATGAAACCATATGTAAAATTGCATATCTGGCTGATTGTGCATCACTGAAGAGTCTAATCGATGTGATACAGCAGCATGATATTAAATTTGTATTTGATATAGAAAATAAGATAAGACATTATACTGTATTTAAATGGTTAAAGAAAAACGTAGCTAAAGGTAACATTGGAGATAAGTCACTAGGATGGAGTTCTGGACCATGTGGTGTGAAATGGCCATCCACCAAATTTGAAGATTATGTTGCATGTTTGAGTGTCTTATGCGGTTTATCCAAAACGCAATAATTCTTGCTGTGTTGTATGACAGAAATATATCATAAATAAATGTATCTGAATGGTAGTATCATTTTCCATTGCACCTGCGCCAATTTTTGAGAGGGGAGTGTTTGTGAGTGGAGGGAGTATCGACACTGTATAAAAGTAGCTACTCAGCATCACATACCAGTCTTCTACATTTCACATAGTGTTACAACATGAGTAGTGCCGGTGGTGTCAAACACGTTGCAAATGTGCAGAACGACAAAGGGGTATGATCTGTACAAAGTGGTGTAGCTCAGCCACCGTTAATTGTCATCCAGGAGCAACGCTATCATCTAAATCCATCTAAATCAAAATGGATTATTGGGCGAGCATATCAGTGGAGCTTCCAACCTGTACTCAATATCAAGGGTTTAAAAACCGAGGGCGTTACGTTAAATGAAGAAGACTGGTATGAAGTATCGAGTCAAGAAGGCATTATAACCAATTTTTTCTTCAATGATGATATTTTCCATCCGATCCAAGGTAACTCCTTCTGTATCAGCTTTGATAGATTTCCAGATTATCAAACCATCAAAATTGCAGATCGGTGGAGTAATGTAGTTTATTTGGGTAAAGAGACCGTATTGAAGTTATTTCAATTAGCCCCGCTGATTGCCTATACGATGAATATGTTGAAAACTCAGGAGTTCCAGGATGTACAAACCAAGCACATCGATGTGCGAGACTTCATTATGCAACACATCTCTGATTTGCCGCATTCGGAGAACATCAGGACTGCTATGGAGCTGGCATACCAATATCCAAACTTGAAAGAATTCAACAAGGCTCCAACACTGAACTTTTATTCAAATTACTTATCCTAACTATTCTCAGTATATTTGTAATAAAAATCTTATATTACGTAGAGTGTTTTATTGAAAAAAAGTGTGCTATAGAAATCATTAGACAAATAGAGGTACATTTATCATACAAGTAAATCACTTTTGTTAATCCACGAATTATAGCTGCTATCCAGTCCTAAGTACTTGACTAGCACTTTACTGCCTTTACGTCGAACCACTTTCTCCACAAGATCGATGTTTGGATACTTGACTTTTTGAAGCTCTTCAGCATAAAATCCACCTAGTATCTCGTCACCACGCCAATCTGCCAATAAGTATGATGTAGGATTGGTATACTGTACTTTACGAATTGTAAAAATTTCATTGGACCAATTAGGAGTGTATCCTTTAGCAAATGCTGTTCTATGTTTGCTTATGCGGACATGATCCCCAGTTTGATATTTTACACCCTTTGGATCTACCGTTTTCAAATGTGTATAAACCGTATTCAATAATCTTTTTTCTGTACGTTTGTTTACGTCTTTGGGTTTGATTCCAATTGTACTATGTTTGGTGTTATTATACCCGTCAACGACTGACGATAGGATATCTAGCCATTTGTATGATCCCTGAAGGCTGAACTGCTTCCACATGCGATTCTTTAAAGTCCGATTCACCCTTTCAACCACACTTGCTTTGGTCGATGAGTACGTGCTGTAATGATTAATTTTGTACTCTTCCAACAACTTAAATCACTATTGTAGAATTTTTTACCCAAGTCTGTTTGTAAATTTTTTGGAATTGACTGCATGTGCGACAGAATCGCCCTCATTGCAGTTGTAACATCTTTTCCGGTTTTTCGTTTGACTGGTTCTGCCCACACAAATTTACTAAAAACGTTGATGACAATTAAAATATATCGGAATCCTTTGTTCACTTTCTGATACGGAAGCATTTCTACCAAATCTGCCTGCAAGAGATCGTTAACCCCCTTCACAATAACGCGCCGACGTCTATAATTTCGGGGAGCTGGCTTATGAAGATCTTCAACAACCTGCTTTCTAAAGTCGATCATTGTTGTATCAATGGACAGCGCATTACAATATTTGCTATAAGCTGCTCTGGTCTGGGTTCTTTAGATGTGAAGAAATGGAGAATATCACCTTTCGTGAGAGGTGTGTTGTCGGTAAACCAATTGTCACTCTTACTTTTGGCGGAACTTTTATACTATCAACTATCCCAGTCACTGGAACGATATAGTCCTTGCTATTGTCGTTAAATGTGTAAAAACTGCTCGCTGGATGTGGAGGAATAAATGGGTACCACACATACGCTGGATAGGTTGGATCTTAGAAAAGTACTGAAGATTGCAGCAGTGTCCGTCTTCTTTGAGCGGAGCATATGTCTTCCAAATTTATCAATCGGCATCTTGATCCTACAACTGCAGCAATGTAAATAAAGTAATTTTACGTTACAAACTCATTTTATAATTTTTTATTCACGTAACTCCTCAATTATAGACATAATCTCGTTACGATGTCCATTATTACCAGCATACTGTGAAGCTAACAACAGACGTAAACGAGCAACCAATTCATTTGGATCATCAAAATAGATGTAGTCGATTGGTTTATTTGATAAGTGGAGCATTCCTTGACCTGTATGTTTGAATGAGTGTGTTCATCGTAACTGACTCTTAGGAGGTGGAGGTTTCTCAAAGGAGCCGGATCTGAGTATGCCCTGCTGCTGATGTAAGTATGGTCGAATTATATTTAGATATTTGTAGGACGTACTACCCTGTATTTGAGTATTAGGTTCAAAATTTCTGCGATATGCATTTGTGCGACTTAGAATATCCATATACTGATCTAGATCACTCTGCTTATAACCAATTGGTTCTTTTTTGAAAAGCAGTTCATATAATCCAGGTGTGCCAGGATATGTTACATTTTCCACCACGATATTTGCTCCGTCTAGCGTAACCGGACTTTTACCGAGTTGAAACTTGTCAGAAACAATATCATATGTTAATCCATAATAACGATCAAACTCGGGCTCGTTCCCACGAATTGACTTATCAACATATTTTCGAGGTACTGGGTGAAAACCTTCAAGATACTCTTAATATGCAGGTGTATCAATTAGTTGGTGGAATTCTTGCGCCACTCGAGCCACGCTTTCATTGATTTGCTGGTTTTCTGCCTCCACACCGTAGCATTTGGAGTAAATTCTTCAACGGTAGATACATCTTGACTGCGATTTGGCTCCGGAAGGTTTGAATATGTATCCTCGAGAAAGCTGTAGTTGACAGGTGGTAAATATCGTTGGTATACATTTTCTGATAATTGTTTATTGAATGATTGTCGTTTCTTCGGTGTGGATGTCACTGATGGGGGTGTAGATTGTTCTTCTTTGATCTGCAATTCTTGTTTAGGTGCTTCAACTTTTGATAAGAGTTTTTGCAGCGGTTCTGAGATCGGCTTAAACTGTTGCTGTAATTCCCTTTCCGTTGCTGCAATATCTGATTTAAGTGTGAGATACTTTTGTTTAACCGCTTTCCTGGTTTTGACTAGTTCTTTGGCCAGTTTTGGATCCATCTGTCTACCTTCGATGTTATATAAGTACTACCCTAAGATTTGCACAGAGTATAGTTATATATATATATATATATATATATATATTACTGTTACAAATTATGTTGCTGCTAAAACACTTTCTATACCTGCCTCCCTGTCTTGGAGAATCTTTATCAACCACTACAAAGCTATGTGGCTCTTGCCAACACAAACTGTACAAGCTTTAAATTCGTTGAATGACATGTCTAGGCTGATATGATCATCATAGATATGTTTCAGATTCAAATTGTCTTGAGGAAATAGTATGAGTAGGTTTATGTTATCCCTTAAATTATGTTTGGGTGCGGCAGTATACGTTTGACAAAGATAGAAACAGTCTGTATTACGATGTCGTCCAAAACTGAAATATTGTCTTATTATATCCTGATTACATGATGAAACGTCGTCAAAAATTATTACGGAGTTTGGTTTAATGTTTTCTGGTGTCGCAATGTTTGCATCTTCACTGTATTCATAATACCATATTTCGCGAAGCGGTGTTAGTAGTTCTTGTAAATATTTGTACTTGGGTTGGTACAGCGACTTGCAGTACAGATAAACGTTCTCAAATCTCAATCCATTAGGATGTGTTAACAAACTGATCATTACATTAGTTTTACCAGATCCGCTTGGAACTACAACTAACGCGCGTTTAGACGTACCATTGAATAGGTTACCATGTTTTCTAAGCGCACCTTCCTGTGCAAGTCCATCAAAATTCGTTACACGAACTTGTACGACTGATGGTTCGATCTTCATTCTGATAGCCTATAAATTGTACTGATATCAATACTTCTAGCACAGTCTACTATATATCTGAGAACCGTTACTTGCTAGAAGCATATAAAATGACTGCATTCCGTGCGAGGAGAAACAGTCACAAACCGACTTGAACCACTTGAATTGCATATCCCGAGATATAATTTCTGTGGACCTGGAACAAATTTAAAGCAACGCATTGAGAGAGGTGATACCGGAATTAATCGCTTAGACGAGGCCTGTAAGCAGCACGATCTGGTTTACGCTACCTCCAAACAAAGTGAAATTCGTCGTAAAGCCGATAACCTCTTAATTGATCACGCCCTCAAGCGGGTTGCTGCATCGGATTCATCGCTTGGTGAAAAAGTAGCTGCACTGGGTGTCTCAGCGGTCATGAAGATGAAGCAGAAATTGGGTAGTGGCATGAGTCGAAAAAAGTTTTCTTCTCGTATTCGCAAGTCACAAAGCATTTTAGGATTGCGAAAAAAACTAATAAGCGGACAAGATCTCTGTAAAAAACGACGCATCACACAAAACTCGAGACTTTTACCGATACCTAAAAAAGGGGGATTTTTACCTATCCTCCTTCCCCTACTTGGTGCGCTAGGTGCACTTGGAGGTGGAGCGGCGTCAATTGCCAAAGCAGTCTCGGATGCGAAAACCAATTAGGCTCAGTTGGCTGAACAAAAACGTCACAATTTAGCGTTAGAACAATCTAAACAAGGAAAAGGGTTATATTTGGCACCTTATAAAAAAAACTGCTAAAAAAACTCCCTCGTCATGCTCTTACTAATATAGAGTTACTTCAATTGGCTAAACAACTGATAATTCCAAAATTTAGGGGGGTTTTTATGAGAGATTGTATTTGATCAAAACAACGATCTTGTAAACTTTAGAAACGAAACCATTATCATACGTTTACACTTGCGCAAAATACGTAATGGGTATTAGATACAATATTCCACATTCGGTGCTTTCCAATCGAACCTATAAAAACAAGATTCGCAGAGTTTTTTTGCTAGTACTCCACCAACCAACGTACCGTCACCTCGTCCAAATTATAGACGTCGTCTAACGATTGATAATCGTCAGTTTTTAAAGTCGTTGGAATTTCAATTGATCTAACATGAGCATTTTGAACGTGACAGAACAGCCATTACTTGACACCTCCATTACTGAAATGGAGTATCACACCTATCAACCGTACATTAATGCTAATTTTGATTATAATGATGAAATTAGAATTGCTATTCAAGAACTGGATACCTTCACTTTACCGTCCCAAAGCTATCTTTACCTTGAAGGAACACTCACTAAAGCTGATGGTTCTCCATCTGAAAACTTTAAATTTGTCAATAACGCATTTAGCTTTTTGTTCCGAGAAATTCGATATGAGTTGAATGGTGTTGTTGTTGATTCTGTTCGAAACGTCGGACTCACTTCAACATTGAAAGGTTATCTTTCTTACAATCAAAATGAAAGTACTAAATTACAAAATGCTGGTTGGTATCCCAAAGAATCGCACTTTTTATCAACCGGTAAATTCAACGTATGCATTCCTCTAAGCATGTGGATGGGCTTTTTTGAAGACTACCGCAAAATTATATTGAATATGAAACAGGAATTAGTACTCATACGAAGTAATGATGATATTGATGCAATTAAGGTCGCTACCGCCGAAACACCCAAAATTACTATTGAAAAAATACAGTGGCGAGTCCCTCATGTTTCCGTCGACATTCCTCAACAATTGGCCTTGACAAAACTTGTTAACAAAAATATTGATATTCCACTGTACTTCCGGAGTTGGGAACTCGTTAAGTATCCCTCCCTACCCGCTAGACATACGTGGCCAGTGAAAATAACTACGAAGCTAGAAACACCGAGGCATTAGATACTCGCTTTTCAGACAGATAAGAAAAACCAACTACAGTCAAATATGTCTACGTTCGATCACTGCAAGCTAACCAATGTTCGAGTGTTCTTAAATTCAGAACGATTTCCTTATAATGATCTCTATCTGGACTTCCCCAATAACAAATATGCTCTCTTGTATGACATGTTTTCAAAATTTCGTCATTCATATTATGAATCCGAAAATGAACCATTGTTTACCCCTGATAACTTTAAAAGTTTGGCGCCCATCTCACATATCGACTGCTCTAAGCAGAAGGAAAGTATTCAAACCGGTTCGGTTGTAATGAGAGTAGAATTTGAAACAAGTGAAAATATACCGCCAAACACATCCGCTTATTGCCTTATTCTCCACGATCGTCTTTTTTATTACAACCCTTTGACAAAAATCGTTAAACAACGTTAAACTTATGAGTCTATAAAAACCTCATTTCCCACATTTCCTGGTCAGTTTTCTTATGAAGCTCATTTACTACAAAGCTCTTGAGCGGTACGTCTCCAAACTTAAACAATAAAGACAAGACATTGAATCATATTGCTTGCAACAGTGTGTTTTCCATCAGTTTCCTGTTTTGCGAATATGAATCTTGTTTTGGATGTGCAAGGATTCAAAATCGAACATAATAAATTTATTGTTAAAGAACTTGCTGGGTATGATGGACAACAAATATGTCACTATGTCTTCAAGCCCCCTTTTGCACTGGATCTGCTCCCACCGGACTTACAAACACAAGCTACTTGGTTGAAGCAGAATCATCACTGCATAAATTGGAACTCTGGTTTTACTCCACTACATACCTTTCCAAAAATTATGGATGACTTAACGAAGCATGCAGATCGAATTTTCGTCAAAGGAGTCGAAAAAGCAAACTACTTGAGACGGTTTTTCCGCAAACCCGTCATCGAATTGGACGAACAGCCTCGTTTAGAGCCCGCTAGCACTGCATGTTTCTACCACTCCAAGCCTATCACCATGTGTGCACTATCCAACGTATTTTATTTGTATAGTCAACGCCAAACAAAGTGGCGTGCACGTCATCACGATAAAAATTCCCCGACCTAATGCCTAGGTTTCTATCACAAACAATTGCTCTATTGCAGTTTCATATTAATGTGATATATAAATTGTAAAATGGTCATTACTCTCTTATTATGGTTAATAGTCATATAAACATTGTTATTAAAATATCACATAAGTTGCTTTCTGATAAATTTAGACGCATTATGCGAAATAAAATGTTTTGCAAACGCTCCAATCACTTATCGACATGTAAACGCACTAAACCGATTTCGCAGCGTTGACACATTGTCACCTTGAAACTTATTTAAACTGGGAACTGACATTTGTATTAATTTTGACACTGAATCAATTTGTGGCATTTCAAATCTTTATAAATCCTTTGGCCCCGCATACTGTAAATCAACAACTGTTTGTTTCAAAACAAAATTATTCATTTTACGAGTAGATAAAGGCAATTTTGGTATATAAAGATGCCCAAACAGTTAAATAGTCGGTGTAAGGAACTCGTGGCCTCGTTAATGCACTACTTTGAGCAAGAAAGGGACAACAACGGGCCTTTGTTGCCTTTAAATGCTGTTCAAGAGGTAGGTTACTAATAATTATATGTAATGTATATTAATAATAGTGAAATTTTATTTCATTTTTTGTAGCGTGTTGCTGCTGCTTTAAAAATTAGTTTAAGGACAGTTAGTCGTATTTCCGAGGGTGTGAAAAGTGATGCAAATTTAGAATCGCCCCAGAAAAAGCGGAGTTATATTAAACGTGTAACCAACACAGCGACATTGGATACAAGTGCCATTCGAGAAGTGATCTATAATATGTATCACAAAAGTAAGATCTTATTATAATAACTTATCAGAAATTTGCATTAATTTGTTAACTAAATTATAATGTCATATTACACATGGTTTCAGAAGAACAAGTTACGATACAAACTTTATGGTCTCGATTAAGAGATAGGGCATTATTTGATGGTAGTGCCACGTCTTTAAGGCGGTTGCTTAGAGATCTTGGATTTAAGTGGCTTAAGGACAATCCGCAACGAGGGCTCATGGAACTACCAAGTATAGCTTTGAAAAGGGTGGAATTTCTAAGGCAATACAATCAAGCCAAGGTTGAGGCCTTATACCAGTTTGTCTTCCTCGATGAAACTTGGATATTTCAAAATGGGACCATAGGTCGCTCTTGGCAAAATGGAAACCAAAAAAGCGTGAAAGCTATTAAAACAGATGGTAAAAGGTATGTACTTTTACACAATTTGCACTATAAAATTTAAAACTAATATATT